ACTCTGGTTTTTCAGAGGCAGTTAATCACACAGGAGGAGATTGCCCTTCCTTCTCCCATGGAGCAGCTGGAGCATGAACCACATGCCTTCGAGATTGCAGCACAGTGTCTTGCCACTAGCCCACCAGAGCTCATGATGTCTTTCTTCAAGGACTAGCCCTTCCTGAAAAAGTGTCCAAAATGTGGGAATCAAAGTTTCACTATCCTTTCTCCTAAGGAGCATTTTAGTCATACTTCCTCCGAGACAAATTTATTTGTTCTTTTAGCAGTCCACAGTATATGCAACTCTTCTCCAGTGCCTTAATTTGAAGGCATCAGGTCTTCTTCTGACATCTTTATTCATTGTCCAATTTTCTAACTCATAAGAAACAACTGAAAATAACATAACTTGGGTTAGTTAGATGCAATTTAGTCTTTAAACAAACAAATGTTCTTGCACTTTAGCACCTTGAACAGATCCTTTACAGTAGATTTCTCCACTGGAGCACGTCTTTTGACTTCTGGACGGCTGCTTCTGTGAGCGTTTGGAAATTATTAAACATCATCATTAATATCACATTCAAGAGGTCTGTAGAAGGTATCATCCTTTTACATCTAGCACTTCTTTCTCTACTTTGTGGTCATAGCAAATTCGTTAGAATAGATCAAAGGAATCTCTTATGCATTTGGCTTCTCTTTCTGGTCTCTTCTTTTAATTTTCTCTGAGTGCCTCTGAAAATATTCAGTGCAAAATAGGCAGTAATATATCAGATGTAAATACAAGTAGATAGGTTGTGTTTTCCCACATTGTAAAGAGTGTCTTTCTTGGTCCATAATTGAGAAACCACTGAATTTTTTTATATCTATAATTCGAATTTTATTTCAGAGAGAGTATATTTCGAAGCCAAAGAAATATTTAAGGAGTTCTGGTGGCTCAGGAGGCATAGTACATTCATTATATGTTATTTTACTGCTAATCAAAAGGTAATTGTTTGAATATAGCAGCCACATCACAGGAGAAATAGGGGACAGTTTTCCTCCTGTAATGATTTCCCTATTTCTTGGAATTAATAGCAGTTATTGGTACAATGGTTAAGTGTTCAACTTATAACTGAAAAGCTGGTAGTTTGAACCAACTCCGAGGCTCTGTGAGAGAATGATTGTGTCCTTTGCACAACCAGCAAAATTGAGATTTTTAAAAATTTTTATTCTTTAGGAGCTCTTAAGTTACTTCTATACATTTTCGTTTCATTTGAAAAAACAATGCTTCTACAGTGGAATGGCTGTTATTTGATTACAGTAGCATTGCTGTTTGTGGGATCAAACTACGTGGATTAATTATAAACTTGAAGGATTATTCATGAAATGTTCTTATTTTAAAAGTGAGATGATCATCTTCGGTATAATGTAGCTTTTACAATATTTTTCAGCCTTTGTGGTGTTCAGATTAGAGGTTGGATGGGGAGCATGAAGAGGGGAAGGAGTTGTTGCTGTTGTTATGTGCCGTTGAGTCGCCTGCGACTCATAGCGACCCTATGTACAACAGCCCTAAACTCCGCTCTGTCCTGTGCCAATTGCACCGTCTCTGACACTCCCATCCCAATTATCCCAGTCACTGAATCAATCCACCTCATAGAGGGCCTTCCTCTCCTGCGCT